ATAATCTCTGTGTTGTTGACAGTCATAAATGTATTTGTAGAAAATAATTTTAAAGCAGCTTTAGAACATATAACTTGATACTGGGGGTTTTCTTAAGCTAGATTGTGTTTTGCCCCTAACTAAATTGTTGTACAGTATATGCTAATACAGAGTTTTAGCATAACAATAAAACAATAATAAAAACAATAACAATAAAAACAAAATATAATAAAACCAGGGGCCTGTTTCACAAAGCAGGATTACTTGCTTAGCCAGATAACTTGCCAGATTTAAGGTAGTCTGAGAGAAATGTAAGTTGATGAAAATAAGGTCTATTTAGCCCAAACTACCTTAAATCTGGCAAGTTATCTGGCTAAGCAAGTAATCCTGCTTTGTGAAACAGACCCCTGATAAATAAACCAGAAGGTAACCCTGAGTCACTGGTCTTGAATTTTTTTTTATATTTAATTTAATATGTTACATGGGTAAAAAGGCTTTTTTGATTGCTAAAGATTTAAATGTTTCTGATATTTACATGATGACAATGATGAAGACAAAATAATTATTAAGAAAAAATTTGTGTATTTGTGTGTTATGTATATTAGGATATCAAGTAAATATGAACGTATACCATAGTTAAGCAGGACCAAGGTGCAACATGGTGACATATAAACTGGTTGTGATGGTTATGAGATAAGGGCCCAAATCTGCATACCAGCTTCTCAGCAAATGCACTGAAATGCCAGGAGCAGAAAAATGAAATTCTGTCTACATAAATACAGCATGAGCTGATGGTAAGTGTCACCCAAATGGAAAATCTAAAGTATGCAAATCTGTTATAAGCCGAGTAACCATAAAAAAAACTGTCAGAACATTAACGTCGTCGTCACAGAGGGCCTTGGACTAAGGACCTTAGGACCATGGTTGAGGGATTACTTCTGCAACATCTCAGTGAAACTTGTTTTGCAAAAAACTTCAACTCTACCCATCATGCTTCTGTACTTGAAGAAAGTCGAAATTGGTCAAGAGATGGTTTTTGTCACAAAAGCCTGTCTGTTCCGGCCTAGAGAATCGTGCACAAACTGGCAGCCTTCTAATTTCACTGGTGAAACCTAGCCGCGTATAACCGGCGCTCTCGATCCCACACGACTGCCAAGTCCTTGCATAACGCTAACCAGACCGTTTAGTAAGCAGATCCATTATGAGACTCAGTGGTAATTTCCATGTTCGTTAGCACAGCGGCCCGTCCGCATACTGTAACACGTCAATGCCAGAATGATGCAGCACTCATCTGAAGCCCAGCGGGGAGATCTTCAGCAAAACAAGAGCAGCGTTCCCCTGATCAGCAGGTCCAGCTTCTACTCAACGAGCCAAACAATAAGCCCTTTGTAGGCCTGATATGAATCTCAATGCCTCTATTTCCATTCCTCTTCTCCATCCCATCTGACCATGGAAATCTGAGAGAATAGAGAAAGCGCAGCTAGAACGTGGAGGCTAACTCACTCTGGCAATAACAACGTCATGACAGTTGTTCACACTATCGGCCTAAACAGTGCTGCCTAACCCTCCCAACACACCCCAGAAAATGGTAACTGTTAGAAGCTGAGCAATAACTCGCAAAAATCTGTAAACCCCTCCACCCATCCGAGCTTGTCCCCTCTCTCCAAAATGCCCATTAACCATCATTCTGATGAGCTTATCTCTGGTTTTCTCTCACCACAGTTAAACCGAAACACATCTTAGTCAACCACACAACTGTGATGTCTCGAATGGTCATGAATATGTATGCGTAGCAGAATGTTTAATATTTTGTGTGATTACACATATACTATGTTTACAGTAATCCCGTCAGATCTGCTGCTGCTGCTGGACAGAGGTCTTGTTTGTTGTCTGTAACATCTTTGGCATTCGGCATTTGGCATTCAGAATAAACACAGATTCAATTAATAGTGTTTTTCTTGAACTTGCAAGCCTTAACATTAATTGTCTTTTTACAGTAAGTATTGTCGTGAAATTACAAATATTTTTCTAGAACCTGAGATATTAGACCACTAATAATAATAATAAAACATATGATGCATAAAAAACTCAATGTTGATCCGTCAACTGTATCATGTATTTTATTTCATAATAAATACAAAAAATATATATTTAATTTATAATAAATACAAAAATAGCATATGGCTTTTTATTTATTAGTTTGCTTGTTTATAAGAACCACTAGGTAAATAAATACTATCCATCAATCCATCTTCTAACTGCCTATCTTGGTCAGGCTCACAGAGGGCCTGTGATACAGGGTTCATACCGTAAATTGCTGTAATTAAATAGGCATTTTGTAGTTTTTACCAAAGATGTTCTGATACGTGACCCACACTACGTGAGGAAACACAAGTGGTTGTACCCAATGCCACTAGACACTAATCCCAGATCAGATTGCGCAACCTAGATCCTGACATTTAGCATAGAAAGCTATGACCGATCCATGCTCAAATGTTCTTCTTAAAGCCAATCGGTCATAATCCAGAGGCTACAAAACACTTCATCTCCAATTCTTATTGGCTTATTCTTATTAAGAATATTAGCCTAATCACATTACTGAATTATGAGTGCATAAAACACGATGGCGATACATGATTTGGCAGACTAATACTTCTGACGACACTCAGCAAAGGGCGAGTGTGAATAACTATGGTATTTTTTATACATGATCAGTTCTAGTGGGTACGATAGCTAACAAATCACTAAATCCGAATAAAGTCAGAATCATTCATACGCTGGCTAATTTATTTCACTGAAAGAAAAAGCTTCTCTTGTAATGCTGACAGCACATTTAACACCAGAAATTGTGTGTTACTGCCAATGCTCACAAGTCCAGCAAAACTGCTTACGTCAAGATACAGCACTACCAATATAATCACCATGGTAACATTAAATCTTGAGTTTCAGATGAGCTTCAGTGTGCAGCATTGTCAGTCACACTACAGGAGTTACAGTGATGTATTTCTCTAGATTGAGTGTCCGGCGCTAAATGGCCCTTAATGTCGTCGACTTCAATGACCCACACACCTGTGTTATCTAGACAAAGCGGCTTGTGTCTGCTAGCTAGCCAGACTATTCCGGTATGCAGCTCCACCCCAAGAACTACATACAACAAGTTTCCAAAACAGTCCCTTTTTCCAGTCAAGTTACTTTTTTTTTGTTTTTTGTTTTTTTTTTTCCATTTTTTTATACATAAATCCAAATAAACAGTGGAGGTTTCCAAAGACTGTAACCAGGTACAAAGAACAGCGTAGCACTTTCTGACCATTGTGCTGGCAAGCACTACGCTACGCTGTCGAACAACAGCTTGGGCAGCATTAGAATTAGTGGCGAGATAATCACTGGAAACCTAATAAACAAATATTTTCTGAAACAGAAATGATAAATCTATCTGCATCCCTGAATACTAATCTGAAGAAGATAAAAAAAACAATGAAATACCTTTGCATAGATTTACATAGAGAGCAGTTGCATTGCAGGTCCCATCAATAAAAGATGGAGGGAGTGACGAGAGGCTGGATCAGTGGGGGTGGCATGTTGAGCAGCCCCTAAGGCTGCAGATGCCCCTCTCCACTGGACAAGAAGGGCCTGGCTTTCCTCTAATAAAGGCCAAAGGAAACTCTCACCCAGGCTTCAGCCAAATACCCAGAGCTGGACATCTGCTGCAGAGTAACGCAAGCAAGTAAACAACAGCACAGGGGTCCCGTCTCCAGCTTAGCACCCTCACGAGCATCACGCAGTCCTCCCTGACATCATGTCACGCCAAATACTCGCACAAAGGGCACTGGGAGCATGATGGTGCTCAAGACGATATATAAACACACACAGATACACAGATATTGATACGGCAGAGACAGACAGAAAGGCAATGAGAGAGAGAATCTGTAATCCATTTAATATTTTAGCTAATTATCACAACACAAAGATTGTATTATCTAACCCACTAACCACAAATCATTAGAAAATACGCCAGATGTTATTAAACCATTCAGAAACAACTCTAGATATTCAGAATTACTAGAAAGAACCACAATTTAAATGTGTATTTCTAATTCTATATGGATTTTTGAATCATTTTATGTTAACATCTTAAGACAGTATAAGACAAGCAAAAATGCTAATAACAACATGAAACGCGTTTTAGAGTCCTGTGTATACCTCTTGTAACAGTATTCAAGCACGTCAGAAAGGCCTTGAAATTTTATTCATGGTGGAAAATTAATAATTACATCATAAACAATGAGTTATGCTTTCGAAACATCATAGCTAAGACTCACCCTTGCACTATAGCTGATTCATTTTTGATTGTTTATGTTTTGGTGTGAGGTTAAATGAGCATCCGCACGGCCTTATTTCCGTTTCATTTCAGACGCAAACACACTGTCTGGTTTTTGCATTTCTTTGCACACGTAAAATGTACCCTGGATGTGTGTATATATTTGTACGTATCCGTGTGTAATAACCCATGGTTTTATTTCAGTGTATGTGTAAGTCCACACCTGTCAGCATCTGTGAATGTGTAACAGGCTTCACAAGAGTCAGTGTGGAATGAAAAACATAGAAACAGACGGTGGTCCGGACAATGGACACAGCAAAGGGCTTCTCAAGTGTCAAAAATTTCAGCGGGAATGACGCAATTAATGACGTCTATGAATTCTATTAGGAAAGTGAAATGAGCTATAGCTTAAACTTAGTAAAATGAAATTCACGGTATTATTTACTTCCCTTCCATTTCCTCTTCATAACATCATACGAAAGTATCTCTTCAAATATACAAATCATAACTTTTCTGCGTTTTTCTTACACATTTCTTCATATTCTTTACTCAAAATCTGCTGAACAACACTCGTTATGCATTTTATGTATATGCTACTTTTATTAAAATCTGCACATATATTAGCCCATGACCTTAACATGAACCGAATCGATCTGATACCCATCTCTAACATCCATGTTTGCAGTAGGCAGCGAGTTCTTACCTTGGTCGCTACCTTCCGCGCGCGATGAGCCTTCTGCGTTAGCGAAGCCTCCTTCATCATCAGGAGTTTTTCGTTTCTTCGACATTTGATGCTCCTTTTCAATATTATACCTATTGCTGCAGTATGTTCTAAGGCGGTCGTGAGGAGGCGGTTGAAAACGAGACACTTTCAACTCGCTGAGCATGCAATAGGCAGAGGATAGTGGAGAAATCCCATCAAGCCACAATCCCATCAATCCAGACCTCTCCGCTCTATCGCCCGTGCTTTATTGTATAGTATTTCCCCAAACCAATGCGAGAAGAGAAAGTTAGCAGGTGTGCGTGCGCTCTGCAGATGCTTAAATGAATGGAGATAGTTTCACAACGCACTAACGTAACTGTTTTTGAAATAGCTATGTTTCAAAAGACACGACTATTCCTGCTTTTCCCCCCCGAATAAATGTGAAATATTGTTACAGTGGTGATTTGGTGATCACGTGTGCCCGGGATTATACTGAACAGTGTTTTGCTGGAAAGTGTGCATCACAGGCGACGCGTTTCTAAACTGTGGCATTATCCGCGAGAGCGCAGGCGACGCGGGGGTCACACGTTTAATTCCAGTTGCCGACTGTAGCATTTTCATTAAAGTCATTTGCATGACTGGCGGTGAAGCAACTGGAATCCAAAGCTCTAGCGCTTACAGTGAGCAAATCTTCACGCAGACTCAAGATTGCACGGTGGTCAACAGGGAGTGGAATACCGATGCCTGAGACAGGGAGTGAAGCTACGCCCTGACAATGCTGCCCTCACGCGATGCACTGCAACCCCTTTCACTTTAGGCAACAGTCTTCGAGGCTGACATCCCAAAACGTTTAGATCACAGGTGCCTTGACAGACCAGCTTGAGAGAAGCAGTGAGTGGCAGATGTTGTTAACATCTGTGAAGCGACAACGGATCTCCCCTGATCCTTCTCTTCCCTGATTATAAACAGAGGAGGACCAACATTTGCGCGCTATAGAGTCAAACAACGGTACCTTAATGTTCATACAGAAACCGTCAACCCGCCGACGTGATGAAGGTCCTCCACTTGTCTTTGACTGCTTCTTCATAGAACTTCTTGATCCAGTTGCTAGGGAAACACCGATCGACCAAACGGGCATGGTTCAGCATCGGGCTGAAGCACTTTGAATATCACGGTGGTATTCAATAGTTTTAAGGCAGTGGACGCGGAGATGCCTTTCTGTAGTGACACCGTCTTGTAACTTAGGAGTTTGCTGTAAATAGGGGGTCCACAGCAGCACTTGTGTAGCTCTCGCGTCCAGGAGGAGGCAATGACGTCAGTAGCTCCCTTTGCAAGCGGTGCCAAGGCTGCAATTCAGATTGACTCAAAAGATAACCTCACACATCCTACGCAAGCAACCTGAACCTTTAAATCCTGCACGACTCCCGCACACACACACCCTCTCACACACAATCACGAACAAAAATACGTTTGATGGAATGAAACACCCATCCAGTAAAAATTCTGTCTTTTTATGAAAAAGAAAAATATAGCTTGAGTTTTATGTATGTTTCTTTAGAAACATAATCTACCACATCCTAGTAAGGGTCAACAATAGGAAAGTAATGAAATTGACCAGAGTATGTAATTTTGGACCTCGGACCATATAGTCTATGGATTTTATGTACGAGAAGTCATGCCACATTTCTGCTTTAAAATATGGAGTCATTTTATTTGTCGTCTGTTCTTGTATTAATAATACGTTTCTTTCTCACGATGGAGCTATATTTAATGTCTTAATGTCAAAATAAAGTGTCCGAATAAGATCAACTCAGAGACAAACACTTGTTGAGCCACGAAGAGTAATCGTAAGTCAGGTGTAGAACAGTATATCGTCTGCGCAGGTGTAACCAAAGCTTTAATAGAGCAATTTGAATCGAACAGGTCGATCAACCTAAGCATCTACAATCACCATCAAATTCTTCGTCGAATTTGAAGCTCTTTTACGGGAGTAACCCGTGCCATACAAAGTTTCGTGATCTGGACGTGAACGGGTTAATAAACATTTGCCTTCAAGTTGCAGCCCATTACAGTGGTGTATGTGAATCTGGAATGTATTCTTTTGCAAATAATAGTATCAAATTAATATTTAAAACCTTGCAAATTCCATCGAAATTTTTGCGACGATTAAGAGTACTAAACATTCATAATCGTTTTTTTCAAACGCCATTTGGGAAAACAAATTAATATTCGTACATGTGTAACGCTGTCATTTTTTGAATTTTCAAGTTTAATATGCCGAATTTTCCACTATAAGAACTCGATGAGATTTTATGCAGATATTTTTTTTCTCCCAGTGGCAGGTTCATTTATCCCAGTGACGCCTTCGGTGTTTTCTGAAGGCAAACACGCTCCTCTCGCTCCGCTTTCCCCCCCATTCACTGCAGCTACTGACGTCAGAGCTGCTTGCGTCAATGCTCTCGCTTTTGACAGAAGGAGCATTTTTTTCAATAGGATCCTAATGGGATTATTAAGGGGGGAAAAAATCAAGCCTTTGGGGCATTTTTGTGCTAGCAGAAAACAGCATTTTTGCGCATTTGACACTGTCCGTTGCATGTACAGTAGACGACAGGTCGATTCACGCACGCATGCATGTGTGTGCATGTATAAATTTAAACATATAATCAATAGTTACTTCATACATACTAAAATGCTAATACGCGTGTGTATATTATTTATATCTTATATAAACCAAACAGTAACCAAATCATTGAGACAATTACTTTATATGAATTCAGATTTTTTACATTATGTTTGTTGCTGAATCCTACACGACTTTTATAAACTAGAGCGCCATTTTGTGTTGAAATTTCGGGTGGTGAGGACTTAAATGCTGCACAATAAACGCATTTGTTTGTTCTTTCGTCCTTGTAAAGAAAAGCTTAGAGCACGCAGCTTAACTCAGGATTTAACGTAAGTGAACAAATGCTAAAAGCAAGACAGGACTGTTCTGTTTCTCCCTTGGTAGGCAAACCTCCCTACAAATAACGTGAAATTAATAAGGCTTCGGTGTTGCCAAGGCATCTGCTCCTATGACGTCCGTAGCGGTGCCGGTTGACTGCCTAGCGCAGTACATCATCACTGAAGCTTTACTTGTGAGCCAGGAGTCGCGTGCCGTCCATTCCGTAGCATTTACACTTCATGCGTCCATCAAACCTCCATAGAAACACAATCATATATTAAGAACAATTATTTTAGCGAATGAGCTAATTTTCGAAAATCAAATGTTATTGAAATGTTCAAGGTACAGCGACGCATTTGTACTGGAACAGGTACAACCTTGAAACTGAAAATATCGAACAGAGGACAATATTTATATGAACGCGACAATGTACGTGCAATGTTTTACAATAAACAGTATTTTTGAACTTTACTAAGCATACATTTGATATTGTTAGGCTACTCTATCTTGCATACCACATCACAAGCCACAACAGTAAAATACAGTTTTACACATACTTTCCATGTAATAAGCAAATTTGTTGTGATAAATATGAATTCTAAATTCCAAACTAGTCAACAAGTCAGTCATAATCCACTGACTGACAAGATTAAACTATCTATAGGCCTTTTCAATAGTGAGACAACTCATTAGTTTATGAAATTTAGCTATTTAAACATTATATCATCATTGTAACATTTATTTAAGGAAACAAACGCTTTCACATATGAATTTTCTATCACAGTACTTTTTATGGAATGAAAAGGCTATTGTAAATTGGTAGTAGGTGCGATAAGTAGCCTACTTGCGTCAGTAATCAAATATGAAAAATCAAATATGAGACATATTTCTCAATGTGTTCGTGTGCATGAATAATAGTCTTGTACGGACAGGCACTCTATGCTAGACAATGCCCTCCATTTCTAAGATGCATAGGTTTCTGTGTTATTCTGCCACCTGTTGGAGAGAATCTGCATATACTCCGTGTCACTATTCAATCATCCACACCTACTCGATATTTAATCACAAAGCTGTCAGAAAACACGGAGAATCTTTCATATTCTCCACGCATTTTCGTCCCAAAAATTTATTAATTATTACGGTTTATGAAGTTGACGTCATCCAAACAAATGCGAACGCAAACTGCAGTTCACAAAAACTGCCGATGGATAGCAATAGAGGTTAGAGTTTGATTGCCCATAAGGACAACATACCAGCCAGATATCGTCCATCTGTTAAAAGCGTTAAAATAAGGTATTAAATTTGAATGTTTTAATCCTTGCTATATACCTGAGTATTTTGCCCGTTCGAAGTTTTTTTGAATTGTACTATAGGCCTACATACCACCCTTTTATATATTCATGTTACAAATCCGGCAAATCTGCTAACAAAGTAGTTGAAGCATGATATTTATAGTAAATAAGCTATATTTACTAATAATATCCTTTATAAGAAAAACGTGAAGCCTTCAGCATGCGTTCAGTGATTTCACACTGTCTATTTTCTCCTTAAGTAATTCGGGGAAACTATTCTCGACAGCATCTTTCTCACTGCTCTGCGCGGAAAGCTCATATTCAGCCGCTGATAGCTCCACAATTAGGTGACAGGCCATGCAGCCGATGGCGTACAATGCAGTATAACGATTCGAGCTTTGCTGCTACCCAGAAATCCACACTCCGTAAGCACTGGCTCTTTTCACGCCGAGTCTAAGGTCATTGCGAAGGTGTGTGCACGTACAACAGCTGAAAATAGGACACGTTTTCCGTATTGGTAGTTTGAATTATCCGAATTAAATACACACACGAAGTCACGCACGGATGTGCCCTCGTGGAGCGAACTACTGCTATATAGGGTGCATTATAATATAGCGGTTTAATTTTAGAGTGACTTGTCCGGTCTCACAGGCATGTGAATTAAAAGCCGTGACAGGCCAATACTCGAAGGTTAATCACCGTGGTTTCACGCCTTGGTGGACAGCGCAGGCTTTTGGCAGACATTTAGGCAGCGTTCCCCTCGTCCCGGCGTTTTCGTCTGTGGGAAAGAAGCCGCTGAAGATAGATGCAATTCCTCACCCATGTGAGCGGAATTTACTCATAAGAGTTAAGTACACACAGTCTTGAAGCGGCTCAGCCAAACACCCCATAATAAAGTGCAGAGGATCCAGAGATTCAGCACCAATAGAAAACGACTAATTCCTGTCTGATGGAGACGTTATTTATGTTCGAACACAGGCAGAATTGACAAGTTTCGTGGGTAACATTGGTAATAAGCAATAATAAGTAACTGCTGTGTATCTCCTCCTGTTTACATTGACTAAACAGGGACTGATTGTCAGTAATCTTGAAAAAAGTGGTTTAGGTTACAAATGTCGTGAATTTCCCTTCAAAATGAATAATTTCAAGGATGTGGCAGGGGTTGCTGACACTGGAAGGGTAAACACAATTAGCCTGTGACTTGTGTATTCATGCCACAATTTAAGATCCCAAACATGTCTGCATAGTCATACAAAATGTTTCAGAGGGACCTACATCTGGAACAGGTATAGCTGAGAGTGCCTGGTGCTTTATTTATCCACAATATGGAGCCTGTAAATCTGGAAAGAATATATTTGTTGACTGCTATTAGCAGCTGAATTGGTAATCATTATGAACATGCCAGATTTTTAACACTGAGTATTTAGCTGATATTTAATTTTTGAAGCAAGGTGGGAAGATGGTGCCACTTGAGTGTTGTGCTGTTAATGCTGGGTGATGTATGACCAGACTGTTATTGCAGAATGGTGGAGGTGAGAGTATTTCCCCCTCTCTGCCTTCCTCCAGATGACTCAAACATGCCCGGTGTGCTCTCCGTGCTTGCTAACCTCTGTTGCTGAGCGATGAACCCTTGGCGACCCCCACCAGCCAGCACTTCAAACACTCACACACACCTACACACACAAAAACAGCCAGCCAATCCCAGAAGGAGTCTGAGTCACATGATCAGCGGTTAGATTCCTGACCATGAAGTAGTGGATCTAAAAAAAACAACACCTCACAGCTGCATTGTCATACTCTCAGTCCAGCAATTTTGGCTTAAATTCTTTATTTTAGATATATGTTGTGTTTAAGTCTTAAAAGCCTAACTAATACTTGGAATGGAAGTACATTTTATACATATATGTATAACTTTATATACACATATACACATTGATGAATGGTTTGGGAGAAATGTTGACAGATTAAAACCAAATGGCTAAAATCTTTAGTGATCAAGTATAATATTGAAACACATACTAAATACAACAGAAAAATATGCCAAAATATATTAAAATATATGGCCCATATGTTTTCAGTATAGGCACATATGCTGAATAAACAGATAATGCTGACATTTACATTGTGGTCAAGTACATCCATCACTCCATCATCTGTGGCTGCTGACCCATTGTGGGGTCATGGTGGACCAGGAGGCAGGGGGGGGGACACCCCCTCTGTGGGGTGCGAGTCCATCACAGGGCACAGGCTCACGCACCAAAGGCAATTTAGAGACACCAGTTCACAATACCAACCTGTTTTTGGACTGGGGGTGGTGACTGGAGTACCTGGTGGAATGGCCACACAGGGGAAGATGCAGAGATGGGGTTTGTACGGGGCTGCCCAGTGAGCCATGCTATGCCCTGACACGCTATATATATACAGGATTCACCCCAGCCTTATGCCCTTGCTCTCTGGGTCAGGCTTCCGGCGAGACCCAGCACTGGATAAACGTTTTAAAGCTACCAAGAAACACCTGTCCCTCACACACCATCATCTGTATGAATCATGAAGGAGCTATAAGAGATGGGGCTGTTACAAAACCATTTAATGTTTGCCTCAATACCACAGTGGGCAGACCGATAGCAATCTTCTCCAATGTATACAAATTCGAAAACCATCAATTTACAATGAAAGCCAAAGAAGGTACAAATAATATAAACAAAATGATATTTATATTTACAATATGGACAAGGCAAAGAGAAATATTTACAATTAGCACTAGGAGGTGCTGTGCTATGAAATACAAAGTATAAATAGTCTGACATATTATTCCCAAGACTTGGATTATTTCACTTTATAAGTGTGATTGTAAAATAAAATGACAACAAAATTAATAAGAGGCAACAGAATTAAATTTAACTTGCTGGATATCATTCCATAAAAATATAAAATAGAATTACTCTTCTTTAATATTCTCTTACACAGAACATCAATTGTGCTAATTCAATGGTACTCCACAGAGTAAGCATGTAACATAAACATGGATATTTTATTCATATACCTGTTAATATGATTCATCTTACTTTTGTCACTGAATGCAACAAATAATGTTGTATTTATCTGTCAAAAGTCCAGCACCAGGAAAAGCAACAGAGCAACAATAGAAACCGGATTAATAATGGAAGTGCGCCGCCCTACAGGGAAGGAGGAGTGATGGCAGTCCAGGTGGTGGCTAAGCGCGCATGGGGAGAGGCGTCGTACTGTGAGGCTTCATGAACTTCCGATGGGGCAGTGCTGTCATACAGCGGGGAGCCTGAGAGGGGCACTGTGGCTGGGTGCGAGAGCCCTGGGTAATGAGTTGTAGAGCTGCGCAGGAACTGAGAGCCCAAGCTGTTGGACATTCCGCTGGACTGGGAGACTGGGGTGAGTGAGGAGGAGCTCACTGACCACAAACTGGGATACTGGCTGTGTGTGAGCAAGATTAAAGAAAGACGTTAAATCAATATGCAGTGTTGTGTGGAAACAACAACAAAAAAAATACTACAGTATCACTGTATTAAAACAATATCAAAATAATGCCTATTGTTTATTCATTTTACTTGTAGAGTGCAAAGTACAAAGGCAAACAAAGAGTAACTAGGGCTTAATAAACCAAAGCATGCATGTCCCAGAAGGCAGTGATGGGGCTGAATGGATTGGGATAGAAGAAGGCGAAAGTACTGTTAAGGAGGAGAGACGATGCAGACACAGGCCAGGATGTGGGTATAGGTGAGAACAAGAGCGAAGACGGGGGCCTGAGACCCAGCATGGGGGCAGGTGGGGGAGGGGAGGGGCAGGTGGGGGAGGGGAGGGACGGGCTCACCTGGAGCTGCTCCCGGAGGTGCCGCTATGACTCATGGGTATCATGCCGGAATGGGACGGCATCTGCAGGCTGGACCAGTTGTCATGGGACGGCAACATGGACAGACAGCTAGATGAGCTGTCTGAATAAGCAGCTGCAAGTATAAAACAATAAATCAATCAGGTATGCAGTGGGCAGAATGTTATCATGTTATGCATATATTGCCTCCAGTTACTTAACGTCTAACTTTAATACATTGATTGATATGTTCACTGCTGAACCCTGTGTCAACTTTCCTTTCAAACAGATGAAGAGTCCTTTCTGTTTTTGTTCTGTGGAGTTTTTTTGAACAGCATATGGCTGAATTCTGTTAAACCTCAGAGTGAAAAAAAATTGTGTTAATTGAAAAGCAAATATCAAAAACTCAGTCCACAGGAATGCTCTTTGGACTTTTGATTTCTGAGGACTTTTGGAAATTTCACAAAATTCCGTCGCTCGATTACATGAACACAGAGTGAGATTTCATTCCCATTACTGCAACGTATGAAGAGGATTATGACTTATTACTTTAGGTTATTGGACTGAGTGAGTTTTGGAAATTTGCTCTTCAATTGATAACTGAAGCAGTACTGTGAAGACAGAGGTTATATACATTGCATATCAACAGAACTGTATGTATAATTGAATGTGTGACTATTCCCAATATGTGTGAACATACTTGGCCAAATAAAGCTGATTCTGATTCAGACAGAGGGTAATCGTTTGTGTGCTGTACTATCATGGTGACCCACACAGAGAGCTTAGGGGCATGACTACAGTGTGGGCTTGTGTGAGGGAACAGGCAGGACGGTTGCTCACTGGGTGATGCACTTCTGTGGGTATAGGGGCTGGGATAGGGTGCGGAGCGGTTAGTCCTCAAGGAGGAGTAACGGTCACAGCCGTGGGGGGAGGAGAGGGAGAGGGTGCTCCCAAACTGGGAGTGTGGGTTTGATGAAGAGCAGAGAGACCCTGAGCCTGGGATAAACCAGCTGCCTACTGAAACAAAAGCGAATTAAGACAGAACTATAACCTCATACTAAACAACACAAAGGACAACAATATCAAGTATTATTCAATCATTAAACAGTTATATATTTAGTCTAAATGATAGTAATATGTATCGTTCCGATTCAAAATATCATTTACAGGTCAATCTTATGACTTACATTGGGAATAACCTGATTGCTGATTGTCCCCAACATCGTCTATGATTTCCTTATGGTCACTTCTGTGGAAGGAAAGCAATGCTAAGAACAGGCAACGGAGTTTGCTAACGTCAACAAGTTCTAAAAGTAAAAGGCTGACACAGTGTAACATACCTTTCTTTGGCATCCAGAAAAGCCTTAGCGAACGGGTTGTACTTAATTTTGAGGGCTGTGATCTGTAAATGAACAAAAATAATAAAAAATGAATAATTTCGTATGTAAGAAATTAAAAACGGACTGTGACGTAACATTAAAAGTCAAACTACAAAAATGAATGCATAATATGTAAAATGTTATGATTTCATGCCGCACCTCTTCATTCTGATACGCTGTGACTGCAATAAACTGCGTTTCAGGGAACGAATGACTGGTGATCATTCTCTGCGGTCCACCGACGCGCACGATGTGGATCCGGGGCTCGTACTTATGCAAGGAGTTTAACATAATCTGCAGAGACACGCATACAACGTTTTAAACAATGAAAATTGAACGCTTTTAAACACCACCTTTTAAATATTTCATTTACAGATATTTAAATGTATCCAACTTTAAATAGACCAAATGAAACAACTTTTTTTCCGTAGAAGATTAAAATATGACTAAATATCAACACACCCAATAAACATTAACAGGCAGCAACATGATGTGTTTCCGTTTACCTGTCCGCCTCCGTTGAGTTTATTGGTTAGTTTGACTTTACTGAAGGAGACCGGAGCTTTCATCCAATGCGCACCGAAATTTGGGGAGTCTGGATGGATATACACGCAGCTGGGCGCCTGAGGCTCGGGTTTGCCCCCGGGGACCCACTCTCCGTTCACGTACTTCCACCTGTGATTGTCAGCGGCCACGAAGTCCAGCAGAAAGGAGTACATGGCGTTCGGGTCCAGGCCGGATACGTTTACCTTCAGCACTGGAAACATTCGCCTGTGATTCAGAAATAAACATATTAAATTCACATTTTTAAGTTTGCATCAAAACGACAATATGCTTCTCTGAAAAGATATTTTAAATGATTTTATTGTTCACAAAGGGAACGGAACTGTAGCTACAAAGCATATATTAGACTATTTAAGTAAATTCATTTTTGAGATGAACAGTTAACGCGAGTGTTTAAATTGATATCAGTCTATAAATTATACACTAACGTGATTAACTTCATATAAGCAACACTTACATATTATTAAGCAGACTATATTTGTCTTACAATTAATTTACTTAATTAACCAACTCCTTTGCTTTTATATAGACACGTATGCGCATATTGGCTGAAGAAAAATAAAACCATTAAGGAATAAACCATCCACTATTTCTAAACTATTGATCTATAAAATACATGCCGTGAGTGTAGACAAAAATATACTCATTAAGACAACTGAAAAATAAATACAAATACAGATTAAGTTCAGTAACAGTGACCTGTGCTACCATAGAAAGGCCTACTTTTTCATTTAAAACACCGTTTAATCAGCTGCATGATTTTTTTTTCTTTAGAATAGTGTATATCTTTACTACTGCATCCAATATGACAATGTCATCCATTGTCCTTTATACAGTACCTCCCATTCTTGGTTACTATCATCTCATTGGTGAGTTCCTTAAACTTCTGCCACAACTCGTTTTCATCCAAGCTGACTTTCAGCTCTCTTTCCGTGGGGTCCCCCTTTTCGCTTCCCGCCTGTAACTCGTTTTCCACGGCGCTCAGCAGATGATCGACCCTGTACTGAACAGCTTTTCCCGAGCAATCACTTGATGCCATTCTGTCCAAAATCTCCAGGACTTTGGAAAAAGTTATATATACTTGGCTTAAATAGACCTACAATAGTCCTTAGTCTTACAATATATCCTTTTAAGACTGTCAGTGTATTCCAGCACAGAAGAGGACGCAACAACGACATGAAGATTTCCACTTTAACCCATCACCCAGATTAGTTCCAATTTAATAGTCTCCAGTTTTGCTTATGACACCGTTTAACACTTAGGGAGAAAGCTGATTGGCTGGACTTCCCTTTGATGTGGACTTTCCTGTCCACGATTGGCTGGATGCGGCCATATCAGTCGAGATGGGAAGTAGCGTTCGAAGTCAATTGCCAACTGCAAATTTGAATAGAGCTACTTTACTTAAATCCGTAAATATTTACACCTATATCAAAGCGACACCTGCAACAAGCTCTCCCAAATGTGGACATATTTATTTCGTATGGCCTCAAAATGTCCTTATGTATTGTTCCATAAACAGATCAAATTAGATAACAAATAGGCCTAAATCCGTTTCTATCCATATTACAAACGAAATTTGTTTTCTCAATGATTCATAACGATTTTCTTACATTTGTAATGCATTTATTAGGCCATCAAATATGGGCTTAAAATGTATGGACCAATAATTGTTCAAAAGAAAAGGTAAAAAACATATTCTCGTCAAATCATTTGACCAGACTATAAGATTTGCTTTGAAACACTTTTTTTTAAATTAAAAATCCTTCTAAGTGGTGAGCAGCCAGCAATATGAAAGGTTATTAGTCTCACGAAAGTGTGAAAAAGCAGTTGAATCCGACTCCGCCGTTCTCTCATACAGCCCTTGGATGTTGTTCGGGACGTTTATTAGTTTCTGAGTCCGTGGGAATCGCCGTACCAAAGGTGACAAAGCGAAGGAAACGCAATACGACCCTTAGTGCTTGAAAACAATGCCTGTTAAAAGGAAACAACGGTCTAAACTCTTAGTGAAAACAACTCAAATAAATCCGCATGACTCTAGGGAGACGCCGTCGACACTCTTGCGGATGCTGTCAATATTTTGCATGAGATAGTATATATTATACTGTATATGCAGGCTCAGAGGCAAGTATCAGCAAACTGAAGTAAAAACACATTTTAGATTGCATTAAAATAGTAATCTTTGTTACTGTAAATAACGTAATTTTTCACTTTTTAATTCTTAGACTAAGGGCTGCTTTGCCTCGAATGATCAGTCCTGCACTGTTTAATTTGTTTCTCAGTTTCTTTTTGGAGACAGAAAAAATTAATCGTCGAGAGTTATAGGTCTATAATTCACTATTAAGTGTAGAATAAAAATACAATTTTACCTATAACAGTCAATTGGAGATTATCCAATAATTTTTCAATTCACGCCAAGAAAGCTGTAGAATCTGCTTATTATGTACTTGATATAAAGTAATTTGGCAAAAGCAACAATTAGGCCTACACAAACACCAGCCGATAAATTAGCAGTAAAAAGTGAAAAAGAAATTTTCCTGATATTTACAGACCTACACATATAGTAAAATCAACGTATTTGTTATTTTTACGCAAGTCACCTTGCATAAATTACAAAACAAGCATATTATTATTATTATTGTTATTAACAGATCAATTTGTTAAGAAGTTTCGAGCATGAAGGTTATGGCGTCGATGACAAGACCATGTTTGCAGAACAATCTTGATATTACACCATTTGTAGAGTATATATCGTAATGATAAAAGGCAATATAAAAACACAGTGGCATTCGAAAAAAACAATATTTGTCGTAACCGCGCTCTATAATCGATGGATTCTGCGCTCGATTATTGCGGCCTTCACGGTCAAAGGCGCGTATTTTCAATGCAGCTGCGTGTTTCTGTTAGCTGCTAAAATAAAGATACAGCCGTAATTAGACATGTCAGCAGTCGGCAAACGTAAGTCTATCGCTGCCACGGAAGCCGAAAATGAACTTAAACAGCTCCAGGTACATCTGAACTAGTTTCCTGCCATACTTCGACATTGCTAGCGTTGTAGTTGAATCATGAAGTGAATTAACTGGTGTATTTTGTAGCGCGGCCCACTTTTACAATTTATTTGCGTTAGAGGTTCTGCAGAGAGTGCAATCCAGCTGGTTTACCGGCTAATTCTGTATGGACCTTTTAAGGTGTAACGTTTAATTAAGATGAATTGTTCTACGTTTCTATTACAGCTCGAGTTACGGGCTTTGAAAAGGATACGATCATCTCTTTACGCTGTAGAACGCATGGTGGGATGTTTAAACCAGGTACTATTTCTAATACCCCAGCATATCAGAAATAAGCTCTTTTTATTAAAAAAAAACCAAAAAAAAAAAACATGTTTCTTGACTTGGTTGATAAGGCCCCCTTCACTGTTTCTTTGTCGAGGTTTCCCATTTGCTGAAAGTCGGTGATTGATTGCGCATGATCATTCCTTGCCTTTAGTAATTCTTGCTGATCACCCAGCTTACATACCCACAATACAACTAATAAATGCCTGATGTAATATGTATATATCAACCCTTTACCGTCCTACAGAACATTCAAATGGCCATTAAGAATGGAGATACACTTGCAGGTCGGTATTTTTAAGTATACATATTAAAATTTAGTTTTCTAAATATGATGCATTTTTGCACAGCAGTAGGGCTTCTAGTCCATGTAATAAATCACAGTTTTGTAATGTCTTTGACCTTCAAATTAAGTGAGGTGGTTATGGAGTTACAGAGTACTCAACACTTTTCTCCCTAACAGTGCTATGAGAGGACTGACACATCAACTGAAACATGCATTACACACAAGCCTGAAAATCATTTACATTTTAATCAACATTAAAAGCTATGCATAATCTTTTATTGGAGAGTAAATCAATAAAACACACCAGTTATCTGAAACACAAATGCATTATATAAATAAAAACAAATTAAAAGTGAACCCATTTTTAAAACCTTTTTTTTTTTTCATTTTTAGATCTGAACCAAGGCTGGAAGATTTTTTTCACTGGAAAAAAATGATGGCAAACTTGTCTTGATTTCCTCCTGTTCGTAATGTGTAAATAAAGGAACCTTAAGTGTTTGTTGCAATGCTCTTATTAATGCAGTGCAGGCTATACTAATAACAGCAGTATTGTCCAAAAATACTGCAGTGGATAAAAATTTAAGCTCCTTGATTGCCGTTGAATACAGTTACGTTTCAGTATATTTAGCTATAAAGTCAGGTCGAAATCTCAAGTGTAAGAACAGTATATGTAACAAGTAATGTACTTTGAGTTGTTTACATAATCCACATTACAAGTCAAACTGGAATTAGCATAAATGTGTATTTTTACTTGGTGGTATGATGGTATCTCTAATTTCCCTTGGTGTATTATTGTATGCGTAAGTGTGTGTGTGTGTACCCTGCTATAGATTCACATCTCCTCCTGGGAATCCCCCTGCCCAGTACTCTAAGAAGCCAGACTTAGGCACTCCTGTGATCCTAACCAAGATAAGCAGTTGACAATGGACGGATGTTTGGATTTTTAATAAAAACTTGAAAAATGTTTCCTTTTTTATCCCAATTGGTTATGCATGGTTAGTCTACATTTCTGCTTCTATACACCATAATAAACATACTGACACTGTAACATACATACATTCCAAGAGAAAAGTTGCCTGATGTATTAAATGTAGTTGGTCCAGGACTTGGAGGGCCCCGTTTTTACCTTGGTAAGAAGAGAGAAATGTTTATTATTTAAGAGCAGAGATTTAGAGGCTATATTATCTTCAGTTCTTTCTGATATCCACAGAGAAACTGATACTAATATTCTACACTATTTTTGTGGGGGTGATGTGGTGGTTAGCACTGTCGGGACCTGGGTTCGAGCCTCCGCCGGGGTTCCATGCGTGTTGAGTTTGCATGTTCTCCCTGTGTCGTGGTGGGGTATTGTCCAGGTGCACCGGTTTCTCCCCCCTACACCCCATAGTCCAAAATCATGCTGAGGCTGATTGGGGTTACCAATGCATGTGTGAGTGTGTCCTGTGGTGGGTTGGTGCCCCTTGCTGGGTTGTTCCCTGCTCTGGACCCCCCATGACCCTGAATAGGACAAGCGGCTTCAGAAGATGGATGGATTTATGTCTGTTAGTTTCCCTGGATGCTGAAGGGAAGATGTGCTATTTCTTGAGTACTGTACAGAGACACTTGATATTTAGCTTTACGTAATCATTTAAAGAGATTATAAAAATGGGGCAGAATGGTGCTACCATGAGTAGCCCTACTGCTCTGTGTCTGTGTGAATTAGGTTTATGTTACATTGTGGGGACTAAAATGTCCCCCCCACAATGTGATAAAAACCTGTTTCTTTACATTGTGGGGACCATTTTTCAGGTCCCCATAAAGATCTGTGAATGCAGTCAAAAAAGTAAAAATGCCAAAAGTCTCATATTTTGTTTGGTTACATTCCAAGAGAAAAGTGTATTGCAAATTAAGGTTAGGGCTGGGTAGGGGTTAAGGTCATTATGAGGAGATTAGAGTTTTCCCCATATAAATGAATGGACAGTCCCCACAAAGATATAATTACAGACGTGTGTGTGTGTGTGTGCGTGTGTGAGATCTGTCTGTTTGTGTGGTGTTACCCCCTGCTACTCCATTTCCTCCCACAGTCCAAAGGCATGTGGTTATGTGACCTGGTGTCTCTGAATTGCCCTTAGTGTATGAATCTCCTCTCCTGTGCTGTACTGGCATCCCGTCTAGAGCACACCCTGCACTGTCTGGGAGCTCCAGGCCCCCCCTGTTAATCCATGATGGCTAAGCAGTTGAAAGATACATGGATGAGTTACAAAAATTAATTTTTATTTGCAAATGGATGATGTTGAACGGAAAGGGCTGTACAGGATGTTCTTACCGCAGAGGGGTGCTTCTCACACACTTGTTCCAGTGACAGGGGATCTGGGGACTTAGTGGAGTTTGCCTCCTTGTGCTCAGGGATTGTTTCAGTCAGCAGGATGCTGCAACAGCACATTATAGTGAGCCTCTATCACTGAGGAAGCAGGGAAGCCTGTTTGCTGGAGTGGACGAAGTGAACGATACCTCTTAGGACGCTCTGTATCAGACATGGCTTCTGTGTCAAGTTCCAGTGTAGACGTGGTCTCAGTCTGGCCACTTGGGGCTTGTGGAGAGCGGTGAGGGAAAGGAGACTTTCTGATTTTCCCATGATTCATGCTAAGAACCTCAGTGGGAAATAAGTACTCGTGCTAAGTAAGGAAGTTGAGATGAGGCATCGAGTCACCATTTAGATGTCAGTCAGCAGGAAGATAACTGAAACTTTGTGAAGCCATTTCACATTTTTAAGTGCAAAAAAGTGAGCTGCAATGATTTTATCAGTGGCAAGGTTAGACAGATCTGAGAAGCATTATTATGAAATTTCATGTTACTATATAAACATTGCAATATGAGATATCAATATACAGCATTCAATATGTTTAATTTAACAGAGTTCTGCGACTCCTCTATCCGTCTGAGGTTCTTAAAATGAAGTTACCAGATTCCAGTCTCTGCCCTCGTCGTCCCAGAGTGGACAGTGTGTGCCTCTGTTCAGCAGTCTTCTCACACCAAGCAAGGGAAAACAAACAAATGAGAGTTTACCAAAAGTTCAGAGCTATGCACTGTACTCTGAACCCTCTGGCCGGCAGCCCACGTTATCCTGACATTACGGTAATCGCAGTTTTCCCTTGCACGTCTTATTATTGCAAAACAAATTCCCCTACATATTTTATGAAATTTCATGTGCTGACAGGGACAGTATTCTCATTCTGTGTACGATGTCCTTAAAATCAAAAAGGTACTTTCATTTACCTGACAGTAAATGAACAGTGAAGGACTTAACAGTTTGACAAATTAACAAAGTTTGTGGTTGATATTGTAATTACAATGTATTGTATTATATTGTAATACAGTATACTATATATTGTATATACTTTTATATTGTAATGTAAAAGGTTGTTATTTGTGCAAACAGAACCCTCTGAGATGACAGCCTTTTATTTGTTCACAAAATGCTACATGTCAAGTTATTTTACCTCTACAAGAAAATTAGGTTGAATAGCTGAATAATATCTATTAGTTTCTTTATCTTACGGCATTCCGTCTGCTGCCTTCTGTATATTTCACAGTACAAGGAATTATGGATAATGACATATACAGAACTGAATGAATGTATAAATAGGATTTTTTTAAGCCACATGCATCGTTAAATTAAACTTTAAGCATTTGCCGTGTTATTATACCTCTGGGAAGCGGCCATATTGGTGAGGGTGAGGCTGTACATCTGATGCAGTTTCCTCAGGCTGGCATCTGTGCACGTTGTCTTCTGTGACGTGTCAGAAATCCTTAGCTACAGGTCAGGCATGAGAACGGTTACAGCCCGTCCTGTATCAGTAGCCTTAACCTTAATGCTAACATTTATTTAGACAAGTCATCTGCCCAAATATGAAACCAAATGCATCGTTTACCTCAAAAAGTAATGGCAATTAGATGTAAGAGAGTATGTAGTAAGTCTTGTGAATGGACAATATAATGTTTATTGTTAAATGACGGGTGCCATACTTCAGGAAATGACTTCAGCAGATCCAGAAAAGCAGGCTGGAGGGTGACAAACTTGGGCACCTGTAGCTGTCAGAAGCAACAACAAAATGAGTAAAGGCAGCTAATTCTTAATATAAGAACGAGGCCTGACTCTGTTTTTAATGAGCGATAGGAGGGGAAAGCTGAGTATGGAAATGTTACATAAGGGGGGGGGGGTAGATGGAGGAGCGTGGTTCCTGCTTTACTTGCTTCAGGACAGGGAATCATGTCTCCCCCACACATGCTCAGACACCATTCAGCACTCACACTGTGCAGGTAACACGGTGTCAAAGCATAGATTTCCAGAACCAATTAACTAGGGGGTTCAGCAAATCAGCCAGAGAGGTCGTTAATCGGGGAGACTGCAGGTCACACAGCCGGCGGTGATGGGAAGTTTCACCTTGGAGGGAAAGTGTCCGACCCCCTGGGTGGTCTGGGCCTAACTCCACAGGATCACCTCTAGAGGACATGCTGAAGCCATCTGAATTACCTGTTATCCCTGACGAGGTAACGGCGGGGGGGCAGGGGGTGAAACACGCCTTTTTTATGCTGGCTCTGTATCAACATGCTTCTTTTGAATAAGGGCGTGACACCACTGAAATGTTGAGTGTCTTTGCTATTATCTCTCATCTCGTGACCTAATATGTCTTCCATCTTTTGACTGCTTATCACAGTCAGAGTCATGGGGGGACCTAGACCCTATCCCTGGCAGCACAGGGCACAGGGGTACGGTACAATGTGAGTGTGACGCCCAACCCAGATAGGTCTCTCACATAAGTATAATATAATAGTGCAGCAGCATTAGTGAGTGATTTTTTTGCCGTGTTATGGGCATGTTATGGTAACATACAGACAACTCCAGGCTCATGGAAGCAACACAACCCGTTTCCAGGATGGAAAACCCCTCAGTCAGCGATTCACACAGACACCTCCGGAGCCCTGACCAGCGTCTCCCCATTGATGGATGTTCAATGAGCACAAGTTAAAGCGACATGGATGTGCCCCCGCGCCGCACCCGCCCCCCACCCCGGAGATGAGTAATGCCCCCACTGTCCAGCCCGTCTGCCTGCTGTTTGCCTTCCCCTCGACTCTCTCCAGCTTCGCCCCGGTCCTGTTTGCTTAGGGTGACTCTGACACCAAGGTGTGAGAAAGTGATTCGCCCTCACCGGCATGTCACTCCACATACACCCATCTCACTGCCCTCTTCCCTCCACCTCCACCTTTGCTAAGCCTCATCTTTACTTTCTCTGCTCCTCCAATTCTTGTCGCTTTCCTCTCCTACTTCCTCAATGCTTGCATTGCCTTCATTCTCTTTCCCTTCTTGCAGGGCTATGGTCTTGCATCCATCCATCCATCTTACCACTTATCCTTGTCAAGATCACATGGGCACTTGCATTTTCACTAATTTCACCTCCCCCCCCCCTATGCCTGTAAGGCATTCGGGTGCTGCTAGAGATTTTGGGTCCCCAACGCAAACCAATCTGAGTATGATCCAGATTTTTCAGGAATCGTCCCCTTTCCCCTGCAGGCAAGACCACACTAAACATAAGCAGTACATCTGTCATCTTTAGTAAAGGAATAATGCTTTGCAAGTATTTCAAATAGAAAATAATTTATGCAACTCATTGTGCTTGCATGCATTCTTATAAACAAAAATGATGTGAGATTTAACTTGTACATACAGTACATATGTACTGTAAAATATTTCTGTGTGTGTGTTTTACACAGAGATAAATCATATAGCAATGTAATAAACTCTGACATCTAACACATCAAGTAGTTTCCATAAGAACCCTTAAAAAAATAACAGCATGCGGCTGTAATGTTTGCTGTCTGCTCCTCTCTATATTAATACATTTGCTGAGTTTACTATGAATCACAGCTGTTTATCATTAGAGCCTAAAATACTACAGGAGCTATTCTGGACACACAAAGTACGGCAATGGTTTTTGCACAGGAGTTAAAAATCCTCCTCGTTGCCTGAAAGGTCTCTGTTCCTGCTCTTCCTCTTGTGAGGACACAGCAGTGTCTGGATTCTAGCGTAATAAGGACTGTCCAGCCACGCTCACAGTGTTAGGTGCCCCCCCCCCCCCATTAAGTGGGGTCACTGGTCCTGCGGGTGGATGCTCACCTTGGGAAACATCCGTTCAATGGCGTTCCGTTCGTGCTGCAGCCGGTCGCGGAGGTGGTGGCCGAGGCCCCAGCCGTCGGCATCCCTTTCTGAAAGAGCAGCCTGTGTGCAGCATCCAGACATAAATTCACAATAAATTCACACGTGCAAAAATTCCTACAGATCTAGCATGAGCATTTGAGAGTTTAAAAGTGAGGCCTCTTATAGTGACAGGCTGCTTTTTCTGACACTGGATTCCAACATAACTTCTCTGAATAAATGTTTAGTGATAGTGATCTCAAAGGACATTAATTGAACTTGCTGCCTTTTCCATTGGCTTAACATTAAAATGCAAGGCATTAATTACTAAATAACATCATCTAATACCTCACACTTGTGGATGGATGTCGCTTAAGGCTTGCTTATCATCTATAGCAGTGGTCTCCAACCTTTCTTACTCTGAGACCTAATTTTACAACGAAAATAATGCGGGGAGCTACCAAATCGCAACACACATTTCACCATTCAAACGGAGAGGGGGGGGGGGTCCCTGTCGACTACGAATGTGACCTATTGATTGTAATCGACCGGTTGGTGACTACTGTTATGCAGTTTTCAAAGTCTGCAGCTCTGTAATCGACCCTTATTTTATGAATACGTCTCTCTAGACTCCACTGCACCCACTACATTCAGAGGTGGTACATGCAAATTGAATGTTGTTCAATCTGGAGGCATACGAAAAGGCCTTTGGCTTGTACTAACCCACAGCCGATATCTGGAAGAAAGTTCAACTGCTTTTGAAAGCAATTTCTGGCCCAATGCAGGAGTAATTAAATCCCAAGCCCACAGCCACTCTGTTCTCTGCTTTGGACTGGTCCTCCACTGTGTTAAGTGAAGCAGGTAACAGCATGTCACCCTAGATACTTATGATCTTACTTTCGTCTCCGCAAAGTAGCTCTCAGATCTCAGCTCTCAGCTTTATGCTTGACTGAGCTTCCTCAGAGATCCTTTCTGGTCCAATTTATTGACCTCCTTTCTCGGTGCTCACACTGGCACCAGTAGGTTGTAGATTTATTGCCCAGCTAAGGCGTACCAAAGCATTCTGCCTCTATGCCTGGAGGTCAAGTTGGGTCCAAAAGCACTGGGGGCTGAATTATGGATCTATTGGCATTATTACGGGCCGGCATCATCTCCTCGGTCCCTCACCACCGGTCCCGCATAGGCCGTGACCTGGGGAACACCTCTTAGGTTGTTAATATATTCCTAATGATGTGCTACTTCTCAAGGGTAGCCTCGGCGTGTCGCGGCCCGCGCTCCATGACACTGCGCACCCGGGTGATGGCACACTTTGTCTGCTGGGTGCAAACTGGCCCCAGGGCGGCCGGCTGAGCAGCGCCTAGTTTACTCACAGCACGGTGCAGCAGGTAACAGGCCCATACAAACCAGGTGTCCGGCACATCATGGAGAAACATCCCGATACAACGCGGCATAACCCCTCGAGGTACCGGGATCTCGGCCCGACACATACACACAAACGCATGCAGTGATTTTCTTATGTGTAATGCAGTGCTGACGTCTGTGAGTGACACTAATCTGACCACGTTCTCACGTGGATGCTGAGCCAATTCAAATCAGTATGTTACACAGCAATGTCCTTTTTAAATCAGAACTGAAACATAATTTTTTACTTATTCTGAAGATGCTGACTGACACAGCTAAGTCCATTCATAGTAACTTTCACTGAAACATAGTAACTCTCGTTGTATGTGCTATTAAAGATAACAACATCAGGGTTGATTCTTTTGGGTTCAAATGGCCCATTAGGTAAAATTACTAGCAAAATAGGCTAAGAGTGAATGCTTGAAAAATTAGACTGTCCTTTTTACACATTTACTGAGATGGACAGGTGAAAATGTCACAAATATTAGTGTGAGACTGTTGACTGTTGGAGCCAGTGACAGCTGGATTTTAACTAAAACTAATTACCAAGGTTAACTGCTTTAGTTAACTGCTTTAGTTAAGGCTTTAACCGTGCATCTCATGGGATGTAAAACCTCAGGATCACAGTTTCTGATCAACCTCACATTAACCCTGTACATCAGAGTACAGAATATTCCAGATGAATCTCCTGGCATCTTTAGGAACTGGGTTTAAAACAGCGTTCAGGTCTAATTGCTTTCGCGTCTCAGGAAGTATTTCCCCAATAAGTGGTGAATGCATCTTGGCACTTAGAGGGACCAGAGTGAGGGGAGGGGGGGACGAGGTGGCCATGTTTGTCCGAAAAGGCTGTGAGACATCACCCTAGCGATGGGTCCGTCTGCACAAGCCTTCGACATTATTCTTCGACTCTATCCTAACCTCAGGCAGCAGCGAGGCTGGCGTCCCACAAAATACCATCATACAAACTCTTACTGAACAGGTCTTAGAGCTCGAGCGCTGCTGAAACTCAAAGCTGTGCCACACTGGGGTGAGGCTGAATTAGCACTGAACGTGAGGAAATTCTCAAGAAAGTACTGTCCTCCACCAAAAATCATTTCAGCAGCAAAGTTAATATTGCTTACTGACATATTAAATATGAAAACACACTGCAGCCCGGTACAGGTCATGAAAACAGATTCAGTTCTGTCTAGATCAACTGCTGTTATATGAGGTAAATACACTGTACATAAAATACTCTCCTGTCTCTCTGATGTTATTTTCCCAATGGAAATATACCAAGAAGACAAAGATAATACTTAGCGGTTTGAAAAAAGGTAAAAAAAAAAAAAAAGTAACTCAAAGCCTCGAAACCTCACGCTTAGATCAACCACCAATAAATCTGTCCAGTCGAGGAAGAATTTCAAACAGTCGGTCAGCGTCTGCTAACAGCCAAGGGAAAAGGTGGCACCCCCAGCCCAATTGGTCTGGCCCCATTATATGCGCTATGATTTAGACATTTTCCCCTGGGTGATGTTTGTTTGTGTAGGTCTGTTGTGAGCTGGTGTCCAGTTTGTTTGGTCATCTCACAGGACTGTGAGTAACTACAGCACGCCTGGTGCTACGGACATCCAAACAGAGTCGGTGATACACAACACAACGGGGTATGGGGTTCATGTGGACCCACCCCCAAACACCCGCCTCCCCAGTCTTATCACGGTGTGGTGACAGGACTACTAATTCCCCCAGAACTGAGGAGAACTGGATCAGGACCCACATGCCAAGCCCTATAAAGCGCTCAGCAGGACAAAGGAGCCCCAGAGAGAGGAGTGGGGGCTTCAAAGCTTTTTTTTTTTTGCGGGG